ATCAAAAAATAATAATTAACCTAAACATGTTCAAAATTTTTTTTTTTCAAATTTACTCATATTAAATAAGATTGTGAAGAAGAAAAAAAAACACAAAATTATATCTAAGCATTAATCGCGGAGACAAAATTAATAAATACTCCTCCGGTCCTAAATACAAAGCCCATTTTATAGTGCAATTTACATTAAAAAATAGGTCTTATATTTAAGACAAAAAAAATAAGCACTAGTAACTTTTTAAGTGATTTATATTCTAGACCAAGTTATTTTTTCAAAAGTGACCTACATTATATAACGAAAAGAGTGATGAGGACATGTAAATTATGAATGAATAATGAGACTGGGCCACTTAGAGTGGTGGGAATATGTCACTCATCAATGTAAAAGGAGGCAGTGGGTAATGGGGTATGGTATGAAAGTGCACTGTCACATGTTGAAGCTGCATTTGGTGAAAAGATAAAAAAACTGGATTCTGCAATCTGGAGTCATCCCTATTGATAGGATGACCCCACTCTCTCACATTTTCATTGGATTCTTACCTTCATTATTCTCCATAATCTTTTATACTTTATCCATTCTGGTTATAATCACTGCTAACATGTTTCAGTAACAAGATTTATTTAAAATATTAGACCTTTTCATCTGATAAGGCCAAGATACTAAGAAAAACAGTACTATAGGTACTGAAATTATCTGAATCATCATCATAAGCATCCTTTTGAGTAACCCATCTCAAAAGGAAGGAAGATTGTAGTTGCAGAGCATATTCTTAATGAAATGAAAAATATATGTAACTCCAATTACTTGGAAAATAGTAAGATCTTTGGTTTAAGAAAAAAGGTTGATCCGTGTCATCTTAACTTATTTCTAATTTTTCTTTTTTTTTTTTAAGAATAACGAGTAAAGAGAAAGCCACATGGAGTGCCAACACATTCCATACAACCTCCAACCTTGTCTCCCACTTCAATCCTTTATTGGATTTCTCATTTTCAAGTGACACTGAACTGATCTGAACCATAGCCAATTTGGTTGAATTTCTCACCTGCTTTCACCAAAGCACTGTGCCTTTCAGCTTAGTAATATTAAAGCTGCTTAGTAAGTAGAAAGTCACAGTTTAATCCTACCTATACTGTTTTTGTATGTATCTCATGTTTATTTCTATTTAGTTTCTCAACTTTTGACTCGTGTATAACTTAATTCCTTAACTTTTCACTTTTTATATTATTATCCTTGTCATCTGCAACTCACTCCTAACTCATCTTATGTGGCTGCTAACTCAGCTTCCATGTGGATTTTTTTAATAAAGTTTAAACAATAGAAGGAGGTGCGGAGGAGATATGGGGTGTTCAATCCATGAATGTGTATCCAAGCTCTATGAAAAGCTCCAGGTTGCCCAAAGCAGGACTTCATCCATCCTTGACCCTCACATTGCTAAATATGGCGAGTCAGCTCATAGAGAAAGGAAAAGCTCCCGGCTCAATTGCTGCCAAAAGCCGCTACCATGATCATCTTATCCTAAGGGGCGCATACTCCGTCCTTGGCGAACCATTCTTTGACGGCCACTGGTGGAGAGACCGCTAGAGAGAGTGCTAAAGCGAAGTAACATGACGGAGCCATATTTCTACTGAGTTTCTGGAGAGTTCGGTGAACGGGCATGGGTATTTGATAAGAAAGGAGTGACTGAATTCATCTCCAACTCGACCACAGAATCCTTCAAGCAAAAAGAGCCACCACATTCCGGCGCCGGCACCGGCACCGGCACCACTCCCGGTGCTTGACTCAAATTGCTTGTCTACCGCCCAACCAACCGCTTCATATACCGGCTCTCTGAACTGGAGCAACGTCTCCTCGACCTGGGTTGGTGTCGCCACCACGTAACACCAACAATCACACCTCAGCCACATCTCGTTCATTTTCACCGCCCTCACTCTTTCCCACACCACCTTCTTTTGTTTTAATTTTATTTAATTTAAAATCCACATGGGAGCTGAGTTGGCAGCCACATAGGATGAGTTAAGAGTGAGTTGCAGATGCAAGGATAATAATATAAAAAGTGAAAAGCTAAGAAACGAAGTCATGAATAAGTCAAAAGTTGAAGTATTGAGTTTGAAAGACTAAAAGATTTTTTTTTTTAAAAAATAACATCGTGCTTTTATTTTATTCATGGACATTGAAATGGATAATGGAAGGTGCTGATGAATAAAGCTTTATGTAGGGAGAGAGTTAATATATTTAGTTTTATATATTTATTGATTACTATTCAATTTTTTAATTAAATAATAATGCTTGGATTATTGTTTAATAAAAATTTTATGTCTCGAGCTCATTACGACAATGATAAGTTTCATCCCAAAATATTTTTTCACATGTATCTAGTATATCAAAATATTTTGTAATACATCTGACGCTTTGAAATATTTTTTTAAGTTCTTACAACACCCTAAAAATAATTTTTTTGCCTTCGTGCCATTTTTTGGTGCTGGACATACCCAAAAAAAAAAAAGCTTTGCAGTGCTAAATATACCAAAAAATATTTTATAGTGCTGGACTCATCCAAAAAATAATTTAGGATGCTAAATCTACCTTAACCCAATGTTTATTGACACTAACATGTGTACCAGTTGACACTATATATTTACCATATCATTTGAACATTCATTCAAAAAGAGAAATAAATATGAATTACGTAACCAGACTTTAATATGATTAATGCTAATTGTTAGTTAGAAAGTGGAAGGCCTTTAGAAGATAAAAATGGCTCTTACGTAAGAGTCACAAGTCCTCCACTTTTCAAGTTGTTTAATAATTATCGATGCTTGACATATGTATTATCAAATTCGGCCAACATAAAAAAGGTATGCATTATCAAAGGTCTGCGTTAATATTTTGATGAACAAAAATAGCTTTTTTATGTGTGATTGGTTGAAAATAGTGGTCGGATTAAAGCATAAATTAAGCAATACCTAATGTGAACAAAGTAAAGTTGATGCAAAAGAAAAAAGTGTGAATCAAAAAGTACATAAAATATAAAATATATTTATTACCATCCCAATCACGTCTCAGAAGATGGCATAAAATAATAAATAGGTTAGATTATTGGCGAAAATAATATATAATTATTATAAATAATTTTTGTGCGATCCTGTGCTGCGCTTTTGCCACATGCCTTCAACTAAAGTGTTTGGATAATTTCAAAAACACTTTTCAAAAATATTTTTTTATAAATTGAAATGAATTTCTTCACATGTTTCTTCGTCTATCATAAAAATATTTTTAAAACTATAATTTTGATTTTACCCAAATACTCAAAGGCAAGCTCAATTTATTTATTGTATTTGTTAGCCAAAAAAGTAATTTATTATATTTATTTAATGATTAATGAGAATAAAAGGGGAGGGCGCACTAATAGTTTAAAGCGTAAAACTGGCCCTTTGACGTGGGATGGGAGAGTGGCTTGCGGTTACCTTTTTACAATAACTTGTTTTTCTGTCTCCCTTATCTACTAGCTAGGTTTGCGGAAGCCATTTCTAGAATTTTGGAACCAGTCTGAAAATAGATAAATATATGAGAAAAATTAAATTAAATTTTATTTTTAATATTAAAAGTTCAATCGTGTTGTTTAAAAGAATAGTGATAATTTCAATCAGATAGAAATCTTTTAGTTTATAAGTATATTTGATTTGCTGTACTTAGTTACCATTTCTTTGTCATAGGGTCATTCAATAATTGCTTTTCCGTTATATAAATAAGAAAATGAAAAAATATTTTAATTATTTACATCAAATAGTTTAAGTATGCTTAAAAATTAAATAACCTGTTCTCTTATGAATTTATTAAAAACCCATGAAGTCAATGTTTCAAGAATAATATTACAGAGTAAAAGGGCGTGTGAAAGGAAACGAAATTATAGTCTGAAAAATAATTTTACAGTATACGAAATAAATATGTGAAAAAATACTCTTTGAAAACACTTTTATAGTTTTCTATGCATCTTTTCAAAATCCAATAGAACCCCAAATCTAGGAGTTTTCACTCAACATGAAATACTTTCGTTTTTTTCTATTCAAAACGATGTATAAGACCAGCACAAAATAAATAAAAAGAAATGATGAAATGAATGGAGATTCCTTGAGGCAAGTGAGGAAGTGAAAATAAAAAGAACAATTTTTTTTTTTGCGAGCATAAAATAAGAACAAGTTGATACAAGTAGGAGATGTAAATTATAAATGAATAATGAGATATGGGTCATTTACACCCATCAATGTGGAAAGGAAATAAATAAAAAGTTAGTGGGTATGGTATGAAAGTGCATTATTGCATGCTGAAGCTGCATTTGTTGAAAAGATAAAAAATTGGATTCTGCAATCTGTAGTCATATCCCCTATTGATAGGATGCCCCCACTTAGGTCATATTTTTCATTGGATTCTTACCTTCATTCTCCTCCGTACTCTTTTATACTTTATCTATTCTTGTTAAAATCACATCGACCATGATTCCCTAGGGTAACAAGATTTATTTAAAATAATAAACCTTTTGATGCTAAGAAAAACAGTACTATAGATACTGAAATGATCTGAATCCCCATCATAAGCATACTTTTGAGTAAAAAGAAGGAAGATTATAGTTGCAGAGCATCTCCCTGCTTTAAAAAGAGAGCCACAGTAAGTACCAACACATTCCATTCAACCTCCAACCTTGTCTCCCACTTCAATCCTTCTTTGGATTTCTCGTTTTCAAGTGACACTGAACGGAACCATAGCCAGTTTTGGTTGAATTTCCCAGTTGCTTTCACTAAAGCATTGCACCTTCCAGGCTAGTATCATAAAAGATCCTCAATAAGTAGAAAATCACAGTTTAATCCTACCTGTCTATCAGAAAATCTGCTGTGTATGTATGTTATGTTTATTTCTATCTAACATGCGAGAAGTCCAGTTGTTTTGTGCAGAGTGGAAGAACAAGAACGTTGAACACAATCTGCTATAAACAAAAAACATGATAGTAGTTTAAACTAATTAGGGTGAACGAACAGCCAACTCAACATATATATATACTAGTACAACAGAGTGAAGTTCCAGCTACATGCAAATGAGGTCTCCTCCAAGTTAATACACTACCTAACCCCCACCAAATATAGCATCGTCATTATTAATACATTCCGAAACCCCAAAAAATTAAATCATCAGACAGCCACACTGTAATAAATATCTCGCACTGCTTTTCCCCATCCTAACCCTTTCTGCTCATTCACCGCCTTCCCTTTTTACACAGCAAAATCAGCCCAAATGTGTCATTGTATATTCTTTATATATTGGATGTCAGTTCTCTTCAATTCATCTTCAGTGGCATCATGCTGGAAACTCACAGGTTCCATACTCTGCAGCAAGCAAGCCCAAATAAATTGCACACTTGTCAGTACAAAAATTATGGAAATCCGAGAACAACTTGTAAACACAACGGGGAAATCAAGTTGGTCTTTTCCTTCACCAAAGGTCATTTTTGGAATCCTATGTGAATGACACTTGAGTGACGGACAGCTCAATCTTTTTGACCTTAAGACCTGTCAGGTCACCAAATTTCACCAATTCCATTGTCCTCATTTTAATAGTTGGTTCAGTACAGTATTAGTATTTAAATTTTACCGTTGGCCGGGCGGAAACAGTCCTAGTAAATTTCACAAATTTATGTATTCATGTTGCCGTATTCCACTAAACGCTGTATTATTAAATTTACCCACGGTAACACAAAAGTTGCAGTAAAGACATCTTCATCTACCGATGTTGTATAAGGACCTAATGATCATGCCACAAAAAATAAAGTTACACTCTACCCAATAAAGTCGCGACACGTCATTGCAAAAGATTCCCTCACTGTCAACCCTGTCACGTGCCTTTTTGACGTTTCGACTGACCTGTCGCGGACTTATTAAACCCTATGTCAATCACCACCCTCGGCTCACGTTAGCATTTGAGTGTTCCGCTTTTCTATTCTAAGCCTGATCAGAATCTACCGAGATATACTATTATGCCAGAGGTTAAAAGCAGGGTTTTGCTAGGGTACTTACTAGGCTGTTGCGTGACCACGTACGCCGCTCCTCCAAAGTAGCAGCTGCCCCCCGCGCGTGCCTTTATTTGATAGTAACTGTTGAAAGCGTACGACGCGTGTGCCTCGAGGGTGTTGGGATCGAAACACGTGGAACCTGGCTGGATCTGGCGGCAATCAGCACCCCCCTCGCCACAGGCATAATCTAGAGCCACCTGCAACTTCTCTTTCCCGGCATTCGGATTTGCCACACACCACGACGTCGCCGTTGTGCTCTTGGACACCCCTCCTCCGCCGTTGACAGGAGGAGCGGGGGACGGCGATGTTTGCTGGTGACCGCCTGCCGGAGCTGGAGACGACGACGACGAAGACGGTTGACCGTGGTAGTGCCGAAGACCTTCCACGGTTAAGGGAATATCGTAGACCTTCTTCTGATCGGGGTAGAACAAACCGAAATTCCTCTCCGACGTGGGGCCCGGCTTCTGGTTCTCATTGAACATGGCGAACAAATAAACGGTGAGATCTGCTTTGGGTCTCAGGGGGGTTCCACCGCCGGTGAGTATCTTACGGACGAGATTGCCGTTGTAAGCAGCGGCGTTCTCTACGCTGGCACCCACCTCATTATTGTCTCCCTTGGAGGGCCATCCCGTTTCGGTGACAACGACCTTAAGGTCATCATATTTCAGAGCAGACAGAGCGGCAAAAACGGCGTCGATTTGAGCGTCGAAGAGGTTGTAGTACTTCAACCCATTACCGGGATCCACCACACCAGGGTTGTTCCTGAACAATGCGTAGTCTAAAGAGATAACGTCAGCGTTAGACTCGTAAGCGAAAAATGGGTACACGTTAACCATTAGATACGACCCTGTTTGGCGGAGAAAAGCCAAAAGTGGCTTGAAAACGGGTTCGATGAGTTCGGGTCGGAATGATCCAGCTGAAGCAGGGTACGAGTTTCCCAGAGCACTGAGAGCAATGGGGGAAGAAACCTTGATATCGGAGTGAAGATTGTACTTGACGAGAGCTTGCTGAATGTTTTTCATGGCGGGTACGAGGTAGTTAGTGGTGTGATGTGGATCCACGAAGACTTCGTTTCCGACGGCAATGGCTTCGATCTGCGTGTGAGGGTGGTAAGCGGCGACGTTCCTCTGGACCCATGCGTAAGCAAATGCGGGCTTTTTCGCTGCCTGGACGAGCTGCTCGTTCGGCAGATCTACAGTGACCTTGATACCGGAACCGGACAATGCTTTGAGAACGGCAGGATCGGTGTCGTATACCTTCGTGCGCTCTATTCCCTGAGACTTCATCAGCTGAACCACCTTCAACGCCGACGGAAGATTGTTCGCCACACGACCATAGTTCACCCCTATTGAGCCAGCATCTGTAGGAAGGGAAAACAAAAAAAACCAACAAGCTCCTTAGCATTGTCTAAAAGAAGAGAAACCAAACAAAATGAACAAAACTCCATCAAGCACAATGCAAATGGCGAAGATTCGACAGGGCATTACCTGCAAAAGAGTGAAGCGAAATGAGGAAGAAGATGGTGGAGACAATGAGGGGCTTCATGCTCTGGTTGTGGCGGCAGGAACAGAGCACGTGAGGGTTGAAGACGAGAGAATGCGGAAACTTTCGCGCTATAATTTCTGCCCGGGACTAGCGAAGTGGATGTGTGTGTGCGAGAACAAATGCGAAAGTAGTGCTCATTTTATTTATGGAGGCATTGAGCGGAACGAGGCCGGGGGACCCACATTGTGGCAGCGACAGAAACCAGAGGACAGAGAATGATGGGGACCACAATGAACGCAACTTGGGGAGAGGGCGATGAACAAAGTAATGGAGGTAGTGTTTAGGGTTCACGTCAGGGAAGAGGCGCAGAAGGAGAAAGGAGGGGGAGAGAATTGGGGACCCACCACATGGGGATTATTATTATTATTGGTTATTAGAGTAGTTCAATAGTAATCCGTCACGTGGCCCCACACAACTCGACCGTTTTGTGCACAGGGATGTTAACGTTTGTGAACAGTGAAATCAGAGGGAAAGGGGGTACGGTACTCATCAGGCGCAGCATAATGATGTGATCTCAACGTGAGGGATGGCGCCACGTGTTGAGATGCAGGTGAATAGTGATTAAGGGGCCGGAAAAGGGGATTTACGTGGAAATTGTAACGTTAGTACTTGATAGTGAGGAGAAGAGCGTGCTTAACTGGAAAACTGGGAATGAAAAGTGGTTAGAAATTAGAGGGAGGAGGACTTTTTTGTTGTTATTATTAGTAACGTTCAGAAGCTCACATGGTCATGTTTTGGAATAAATTTCACTGTTTACTCTGATCGTAATTTTGTCCATTTCCCATTATTATTGGAAACTACAGATCGTACATGCATCATGCAGGTATAATATATCGAGTTTTCCGAGCACATTCCAGAGTTCTATACTTTTATTTAGTTTATCTGAGACGGTGGAAAATGATGATATTATTAAAAAAATCACAAAAAAAAGAGCATCAAAATAAAAAAAAATTGTACATAAAAACCAGTTCACAAAAATTACCATCAAAATCTATATTATTGTTATTAAACCCCCATATGTCATGAGTCTTTATTTACAATGTTTTTTATTTTGACAGTTTTTTTGGTCATTTTTCCAACTTTTTTCATGTTGATGCATATTTGTTTCCTTTATCTTTCCTTTGTTCCTTGCATTGAACAGAGTGCTTGATTGAGTTCGGCGAAAGCGTTTTAACCCTTTGAAATAGGATTAAAGTTTTGTTGGCCCCCCAAAAAAAAAAAATTGTCACATTAACGTTTGTTTTAAAACTCACGCCCTCTTTTATATCTTCTAGCAACAGTAGGAAGTAACAACCTTACGTTTAATAAATTTTTGGTTGAAGTATATATTTGCTTCTTTAATTTTATATAAGATTTTAGTTTAGTCTCTTAATTTTAAAAAATATACGTTTGTTCTTTTAACTTTAAAATTGTTAGTCTTAAATTATAATTTTTTGTAATAATCATGATTATTTTTTAATATGTTAGCATTTGGTAATAGTTTATCAATATTGAAGAGCTTAATATCATCATTTTTTTTGTTAGTGGTTATAGAGTTAGATGACTAAAAATTTACTTTTTAAAATTAAAGGATCAAAATAAAATATTACGTAAAGATAAAGGACTAAAAGTACTCTCTCCGTCCTTTATTATAAGATCCAATTTTTTGAATAGGTTTGTCCTTTTTTATAAAATCCTTTTTTAGTTTACCTTAACATTTAATGCATTATTACATATTTTGTCACTAGTTTAATGCATTTAATACATTCTCTTAAACTAATTGTTACATATTAATTGCTTTTAACTAATTTAACTGTTTTCTTAAACTACACAATTTAGTTAAAAGGATCTTATAATAAGGGACGGAGTAGTATATTTTAACCTAAATCTTTAGGAAGAGTGTTTGATGTATAATAGGCTATAAATATGACTATGTTAACACATCTGATTTTGGATGTTCATCACCCAAAGTTATCACATTTGAACCACTCAGATCTAATCCAGATAGTTTAGATAGTTCAGACCTACTCATCAGGTAATGAGTACTGGGTGCTCGTTAATTGATCTCCACTAAAACCAGGTCCATAAATAATAAATTAATATATAATCATCAGTCTAGTCCCTATTATGTTTACGGGTGTTTAGCATGAATGAAGTGGAAACATGTGAAAAGCATTATGTATACTCGCTGGACTTCGTTCAATATTCATGGGTCATTCTCTCCACTGCAGCCAAACGCTGATTCCCTTTGAGTATTTTTCTTATTGAAAAAAAACAAAAACAAAACAATTGAGTGATCCATGAACCTCGAGCCACACAGATATCTCTTTCATTTCTACGTAGTTTTGTAACTTAGTGCTATGTAAACTTCTATATATAAATATATGAGAGGTTATGGGTTTTGATCTGTTAATATCTTTTCCTATAAATTAAAAAGAAAAGATATTTCTCTCACTCAGATGTCCTTTTTTGTTTTTGAAATTGTTTCACATATAACTAAGAGAAATATTCTACCTATGGAAGAGGATGAATTTATAATTTTATTAAAGTATTTTATTTTTTTGGCCACACATTTATTTAAACGGTTAGCAATCTCTTTTATGTAGCTCTATGAAGGAACCAATGGTGATGGAGAAACCTGAAAAGGACGATACAGATAGTAACCCCAAGGGAAGGGGATGGGCCGAGGCCCAAAAACAGTACATTCGAACCCATTCTATTTTATGATCCAAAAAAAGTGATATTCGAGAATATGGGCCTGAAGTGTTGATTTACAAACACCCAAATGGAGCCTAAGGGGGACGTGGCCTATTTCCTTGTTATTTTATTTCTCTTATGGGCTCCCCTTACTCATCATCTCTGAACTCTAAAAATACGTTTGGATTGATATTGGATAAAATTGACTTATAGTCTAACTGATTTTTGTAACTGAAATTAAATAAAAACCAATTAGTATAATGCGATTTATGTTTGGATAGGTACTTTTAAAAAGTCAATTGAAAAGGTTAAGAGTTATTTGGATGATTAATAGAAAAGTTAGTTTAATTGTAAAATGACTGAAAGGACAAAGATTTTATTGAGTAGTAGTATTTGAAATTTTATGTTTTTAATATGATAAAAGTTTAAAAAATATGTAAAATTATTATGATAAAATATAAATGGTTTATTTGTGAAATTATAAAATAAAAATATTTGTTACGAAGAAAAATTTGAGAACACATTATAAATAATTAATTAAATATACATAATGGACAAACATGAACATAAATTGAAATTCATTTAATCTGAATAAAAGCTCATTATGCTAACGAAGGAGATGAGGCAGAAAGGAAAATGTGAGGATAAATCTGGGATGCTCATTTTTAATAATCACCGTTTGAAACTACAGTTTGAAAAGTCGATTTTTCTCTATTGAATCCAATTGAGGTTGAAGGCCAGAAGTTGGTTTGAAAAGTTCGCCCAGCCAAACAACAGTTTTTATCCAACTTAGTTTGTAACCTCAGTTTCATCATTTTCAATGAGCTTTTGGTGTTTGTAACTGTGATCCAAACATGCTCTAAGTAGTTAAAATTTTTCACTACCTAACCACTAATAGTTGGATCTAATAGAAGAGGCTAATAATGTCTTATATTAATACTTGATAGTATCTCAAATATAATTATTTTCAATAGAAATATGCACGTGCTTAGCCCAAAAAAAAAATTCATTATGTGCATTTTATCTAAATGCCCCCTTATAGAATGTGAGATTCAACAAACCATGGGAGAGAAATTCTAGATTGTTTGAATCATTAATTAAGGATTGTGTGAAAAAGATTATGCTTCCCTAATATTTACTTCTCTCGTCTTATTTATAAAGTACTTCCAGCATATTTCACACAAACCAAGAAAAACTTTAAAATGCATTAACTCTCTATTAAAATATGACAAATTTTCAACTTTACCTATATTTAATATATACACTTTTCAAAAGAAATAACTACATATTCTATAATAAATGAAGAATAAAATAGTACATTCACGTTGAAAATTTAATGAGGTGACTTATAAATATAAAAAAAAAACCTTCTTTCTCTGTCCTATAAATAGGATTAGAGGAGTACACTCTATTTCTATTTATAAGTCACTTGTACCTTAAACCTGCAAATAAAAAATACATTAAATTGATAATTTTTTCTGCATTGGCCCTTATTAAAAAAAAAAAAAGAGTATTAGAAAAAGTATATTTTATATTTTCTCTCACTTATTTAAGTCTAAAATTAGAAAAACTCGTTAAGAATCCTATAAGTGATTTATATTTAGAAACAAACATTTTCTCCCCAAATCATTTATAAATAGGAACATAGTGGTAATCAACTTTAAGGGAGTGTTTGGTTCAACAAAGAATATGGGAGTTGAGGGAAAGAAAATTGTTTTATTAATAAATATGTCCATATATTACTAAAAAGTTATTAGTTGATGTGGTAAATGGTCTCACTTTTATAGGGAGAAGAACACAAGTTCAAAGGGGGAGTTTTATACGTCCATATGCACCATAAAATACTTCAAGATATTAGATGTACTTGAAAAATACTTCAAGATACTGGATGCACTACAAAATATTTTAGGGTATTGGACGCACTCGGAAAAATATTTTAGGGTGCTAAATGCACCTTAACCCTGTATTAATGATAACAAGTAATAATGTTTGAAAAAGGCTTCAACCATAAAAATTTATCTTCATGTTACATAAAATCAATTTCATTACGTTGGCCAAAAAATTACAATAAAAATGGAAACATACTGATTAAACTAAAAAATTAGACTTTTTAGAAATCATATTTCCAAAAAATAAACAATAAAAAAATAAAGTCTGGGAAAAGAGTTGGAACTGTTTGGCTCAACTAACAATTAAAGCTTTAAATCTTATTTAAACATGAGGTTATTCAACCCTCCATGTATGCTATGAGCGTGTGAGTTCTTTTTCCACAAGGTGAATGCTAATTGAAAAAACTACAGAAAGAGGCGCTCCCAAGATCACTAACTAATTGAAAATACCATTTCTGGGAGAAACCATTTTCAAATTTCAAATTTGTATTATGTCATCTCTGGTAATTAATGATTTTAAATATGGGTGATATTGC